GCACAGACAGACACACATACACACACACACACACACACACACACACACAGGAACGGCTATGTGACACCGCAGATGTCTGCCAGTCAGGAAGGGGATCCCGTGAGAAAACCAATTTCTGTTGGTTAGACCACTCAGTCTGTGGTCTATCCTGCTGTGACCGCCCACGCTGCTAGAGAACTGTGTAGGTCTTCATTCCAATTCCTGACTGCTGATTGTGCCCGTTGGCTCAGGTGAACGAGCCCGTTCTTTCTCTTCATTCTCTGCTGCCTATTCCTCCTCTGAGCTTCCTGTCACCGCTTAGCCACACAAGACCCCTCAAGGGGAGGGGCTGGATTTGGTCGAGTTCATCCTCCGTCCCATACCTGGTCGCTGTGTGGAGCTTCACTCAGTCCCATCACCAGCTGCAGGGCCTTGGCTGCGACCTGCTTCCTCTTGTCCAGAAATTCCAGCTCCCCGTCACAGAGCTCAAACCCAAGGCGCAGGTCTAAGTCCCCAGAGCTGCTCCAGATGGGGTGCAGAGAGTACGGAGGAGAACTTGGAGTACAGCCTGCGTCCTGAGGAGCCCCACAGAAAACACCCCAGGGGACTCCCAGCCAATACCAAAGAGCTGGCTCCCACGGCCTGAGCCGAGTGGGCAGGAAAGCAGAACCGACTGGAGTATTTCCCACTTCCAGCCAAGCCCCAAAGGCCTTCCACCAGCAATCCCATCTCACCTCATTTCTGCTTTCACACTCAGAGTCACCTCCTGGCCCTGAAAAAGGCAGAAGTCCTTCATCCCTGAGTAAGTAGAGTCAGACCCGCATCTGCGGCCCTCGGCACCCAGGTAGCCCGCCAGTGTGTGCTCCAGACCCCTGTTGGTGATCACAGGGCAAGCACCAGACCAAACCTTACCTCCTCCAGCACCACAGTGTGCTGTTCCTCCTGGCCGAGGGGCAGAGAGGAGAGCAGGAGGCTTGCCTGGCCCGGCTTGCTGCTCTGAGCCTCCAGCTGATCAGTGGGGCAGCTCTGTGGAGAAGAGCACCAAGGAGCAGTGTGGGACGGAAGGCGTGCCTCCTGGGCACGCTGCGGTCTCCTCCTTCAGGGGCTCATTCCGTTATCCCTCCCCTTTGCCGCGGCTCACTAACCTGCAAAAATAGGGGCTTTTCCACCCTCACTTGCAGCGTGGGGCTCGGCACTGGGTTCACATGGAAGGTAAAGGTCGGCTGCCGAGGTACTAACTGTGGCTTCTCATAGGCCCCAGGCACGGCCAACCGGATCTGCCTCGAGCCTGAGGGCAGAGGGCCAGAGAGTGGTAAAATGGGGTTGATGTAAGTGTGGCTTAGGACAATGACATTCCAGATGACAGTGATTTCTCCTCTTCCCCAGACCCCCTAGTCCTCATCTCCCTGCTCACTTGGGTACCTTGACCACAGGAAAAGAGCCTTGGAGCTCTTAGACTCTAGAACCAGCCAGCCCTGGTATAGTGTGTAACACACAAATACAAGGAGGGGAGCAAATGGGTAAGCCCATAGTCTATAGGGCTGGTGGTTTTGAATTTTTTTATATTAATTACCTAACCACAACTAATAATATAAATATCATTCCTTATTGCATTAATCACCAATTTTCAGCTGTTAATACTCCAAATCCCGTGACTCCATTTGTGTATCAAGTTCCTCGCTTTGGGGGAGGTTTGCTGCCAAAGTGAACAAAGAAATATGCTTCAAGATGCTGTGGCCTTAGCTTCCAAAAGTAGAAGATCTTGGAAGAATGTAGAGATTCAGACAAGGAGGTAGAAGGCAGAATGGCATTCTGGGTATAGAGGATTATATGTTGCAGAAGAAGAGGGGGTCAGAGATCAGCTCAAGCTAGGTGAGACCCAGGCTGGGAAAAAGCAAAGAAATAGGGGGGGCCTCCTGGCAAGGAACAGTGAGGTCTCTTGCTGCCTTGCTTCTTAGCAGCTGTGAGAGGTGCTTGACACCCAGGCCCAGGCACACAATGCAATGCAGGAAAGCCGGGCTTCCAAACACATCACAGAAGCAACAGTGACTCAAAGGGCAGGAGGACAGCAGAGGTCCAGATGGGATCCTATTCCTGCCCAAGATGAAGCCAGACTTGACACGCCCTGAAGTAGGGGAGACCCCTGGAGAGGTGCTTTCACCCTCCCACCGAGGTTTATGGCCTGAGATGGAGTCAGACTGAGATGTGCCATTCACTGAAGAAATGCCCGAACCTTATGGTGAAGAGAATGCCCTTGGAGTGTGTCAGCTCTGTGGCTGGTCCTTGCTCTCCCATGTGTTGGCTGTGTGAGCTGAAGAGGTTAGGGACTGCCCCTGCTTTATACGGTTGCCATGGGGAAGCACGATCAAATAGATGTCATGTGCTCAGCATAGTGCTAGACTCCACATGTCACCACACTCATCCCACAGGGGCCACTGTCCCCGTGTGAGAAGGACCCACAGCTGTCTCACTGCCCACTCCCACATCCGGATGTCTCCTCCTAGGCTGTCACCTCTTTGACAGACTACGTTAATGGCCTCAATCCTGCTCTTTCCCCAGGATTCTCTTTCTTTGCCATGTTGTTATAGGAGTGTGTGTGTGAGTGTGTGTGTGTGTGTGTGTGTGTGTGTGTTCTCAGTTTTTTTTTTTCCTTAGAGGAATGGATTGGATCAAGAGACACATTTTAATAGTTTATCTATCAAAGCAAACACTCCACAGAGAGATTGAGGTGGGTTGTCACAAAGCAGGGAGAAGCACCATGAGGTCTGGGTTGTGGATGTTAAGGAATTTCTATGAATATTTTTTGTGCTGGTTCACATATTCCAAGGGTGATAATACAATCTTCCTCCCCCACAAAATCAGAGTGGACTAAATGTCCCTTTTAGAACCCCCCCCTCCTTTCTCACGGTCCTTTTGAAAACCCTAGAGGGAGGCAAAATAATAACGAAGCTAGTCATTTGAGGAGGCAGGCTCTTTGCACATTGTGTGGGGAGATGCCCCGGTGCCTTAGTTTTTTCAATAATCTGCAGCCTCAAGGATGTTTAACTATGAAGGAGCGTTCCAACTGACAGGAGATGCAGCCACAACCAGGCAGCTGTAGTTTTCTTGGTTAGTTCATGTCTCTTTCTTGAGATTGCTCAAGGTTCCATAATGCTATGACTTTTGGTTGAGACATTTTGTTATTTTTAAAGTTGTGTGTGTGTGTGTGTGTGTGTGACTATGCATGTGCACACAAAAAAGACCAAAGGATGTTGGTGTCCTGCTCTTGTCATGCTTCACCTTATACCCTTGAGACAAGCTCTCTCCTTCGATCTGGAACTAGGCTGACAGCAAACAAGCTCCAGGAATCTTCCTGTCTCTGTCTATCTGTTTCCCTGACCCCCATAGCACTGGGGGTCATGCCCAGCTTTTGAACTGGATATTAGGGATTTGAACTTAGGTCCTCAAGTTCATGTAGCAAGTACTTTTGCCCACTGAGCCATCCCCTCAGCCTCATCTTGTTACTTCTAAAACTGAGATTTTACATTGAAGGTGGAGGCTTCAGTTTTACACAAGACTGGCAGGCTGCACGAGTCAGAAACAAGACATGTCATCTGTTAGGATTCCCTTCTCCCAACCTCTCAGTTCTTCCTCGACAACAGAGTGACTTAGTTCTTTCCCCCAAGGAGGCCGACTTTACCGACTGCCTTCTAGCTCTGAGTTTAACCACATGGCTTGTTTTGGGCCAGTAACATGTGGCTGGCCAGAATGTGACCAAAGGCTTAAAAAGCACTTGCTCAATTGACTCAGCTCTTCAGCACCTCTGCTGAGGTTTGAAGAGTATGCGCAGGCTGGTCACAGGGGTTGGGGAGACCGCTCTCAGGCAAGTCCCTGCTGCCCTCTCCCTGCTTTAAGCAGTGAGAATGTTGAGAGCCACAGCCCCCAGGAAGAAGACGAGCCCGGAGACTGAGGACCAAACTCACCGTGTTCTCCAAGTGAAGCTGTCTTGTCTCCCTTGAGCATGCCCTGGATTCTCAGGCAGGGGTGAGCCTGGGGAAAGCAGAAGCCTTGGGAGTCAGAGAGCTCATAGGGGCTGACCAGGATGGAGGGAGGGAGGACTATCTAGGGCAAGGGCCAAAGCAGCCATGTGGGACCTGGGCCCTCTGGGCAGGGATCTTTTGTGAAAATCCCCAAGGCAGTTCCATGTACTTCCCCAGGGCTCATAAGAAAAGGGTCTTGGCGGGAAAGGAGATTATGGGACCCTCCAAGGCTCCCTCAGCAGTCTCAGTAGCCAGGGTCCTACGGGAGCGATGGTTCTGTGATGCCCACACAGGATCAAGACAGCTTCTTGACCCTCATTCCCCTGGCGTATCTCCCTTCTAAGGAAGGACTCAGTGTTTTCTGGAGACACATGGGCATCATGGACTCAGCCACAGTCTCCTGCTCCCCAGTCCCACACAGTCCCATCCCTGTCTTCCTTACTCACCACCAGGACCCCATTGGTAATGACTTCAGATGCAGGCATCTGACTGCAAAAGACGAAGGGCTTGTGGGCCATCATCCCCCTTCCCCTGCCTACTAAAGCAACATGGTCAAAGCAGGTAGCAGAGCCTGGGAAGCATGATAGGGTTTCTGGTAGGGAAACTTGCCACCCAACATGCAGGCAGGTGTCAAAACCAGGCTGACCTCTCTGAAGCCAGGCCTCCAAGGCAAGTTCCAACTTGCGGACTGCTGCTTGGAGGAAACAGAGTCACCAGCTCTAACCAGACTCACCTCTTTTCCAGAGTAAATTCTACTTGCAGCTCTCTTGAATCCTACGTGGGGGTGAGCAAGGCATCAATTTTCAAAAACCTTCAGAGATCTCAGGAACAGCCCCTGTCTCCCACCTTTGCTCAACTCTCAGGCCTAGGAGATTAGTCTGGTATAGTGTCTCATAGGCCTGGGGAGCAGGGGAAATAGCATTTCCATGGAGAGCTTCACTCATTCAGAAATATGTGCATGCTGCTGTTTCAGACTCAGCAGTGACCAAGGCCAAGCCAAGATGGCTGCCCGTCCATGGCTCAGGGGTGGGGGTCTTCTCCTGGAGATTTAGTGTTAGCCCAGGCAGGCCTCACCTGCTGGTTCAGAGTGAAGTTTTCTGTGTGAGGCTGGCCTGGCTGGAGACTACTCAGGTCAAACAAAAGTAAGGAGAGCTTCTCGCTGTCCAGGATGTCCTTATCATAGAGGGAAAGCTCCAGGACGTTCTAGGCATAAGATGGAGGGGTCAGCATTGTGAAGGAACTCCTTGGCTTCCATGCCCAGCCCCTTACTGACCCATACCTTCACAGCACCATGGATCCGATAATGAAAGGTCTCATTCCACTCTGGGTCACTGCAGTTAGCCACTGTCCTTGTCTGAGCAGGGCTAAAGGAAGCTGTGGGCAGCCACAGTTGGACATAGCAGTCAGCCTTGGACACTGCAGGTAAGAGGGGGGAGGGACTTGGCGTCAAACTCTTATTGTCGAAAAGGTTTCCCGGAGGAGGCTGGGCTTGGGGCGAAGGCTGCCTGCCTGTGGCAGGTGGGGGTGTTTTGGTGTTCCTGGCCCTCTACCTCCCACTCAACTGACAGAAATCCTGCAGCAGCAGCCACAGGTCAAAGGATCCCGTGGCAGCACACACCATTGAGCAACTCCTTCAAATGGCCTGATTCAGGCCATTACATTTTGTGCCCTGTGTGGGCACCACCAAATCTCCTGGAAAGCAGGCATCGCTGTGTGGCAACATGAGCCTGACACGCCCTCAGAGAGCCTCCCAGATCCAGGAGGCTGGATTCAACCCTCCAGTGCTCTTGTCTGCCTGTGTACCCCACTCCAGGGTACTGTCCCTCAGTGGTCAACATGAGCCCATCAATGTACTCCAAGAGGGCATTACACACACACACATACACACACACCACTCTGAGAAAAGGAGAAGGTGGGGTGAGGCTCACTCACACAGATCTGTGTCCTGGATGTTTCTGGCCCTCAGCACCTTCACTTGAAGGTCGTAGTATGGGTGGGTTTCCCTCTGAAACAACAGAACCCCAGGAACTCAGTTCCAGGCAGCTAGGGATGGCCCAACCACCTCTCTCAAGTGTTTTCTCATTCCTGTTCTCTTCTCTGTCTTATCACAGAGCTTGCCCTGGCCCAGGGTCACTTATGCTCCTGTGCCAGGAGCTCTGGGAAGTTTTTTTTGCAAGGCCCAAGGTATTGGATGGTCAGGACTGGTGAGGAGCCTGGATGCAGGGATCAGCTCAACTCTAAGCATCACTCTGATTAGCTAAGCTGTCCTCTCGATGAGGTCTGGGCCACTGAGATGATGAAGAGGATGAAGCATTAAAAAAAGAAAGCCAGTAACCACTGCACCCATTAGCTTCCAGACAAGAGCTGGAAGACCAACTAGAGGCAGGTGAGATGCAGGTCTCCCAGCTCATACTGGTCTGACAAGTCACTAGATTGAAGATTAGGTTAAGAGAGAGAGAGAGAGAGATAATGCCAAATTCCACCCTTCTAGGTGTCAATCTAACCCTCAGAATGCCAACAAATCCCTTTATCCCTTCTCTCCACAATGGGTTATGCAGCCAGACGAACGCATTCCTGGCAAACCAACCAAAGGCAATGGTCACAGGACCTGCCATTGCTTCCTTCTGGCGATACTTTCAAGAGCCAAGGCCTTGGCCCAGCTCTCTAGTTTGAGCTTTTCCAGGTTGTCTGTGGCATGTTCACCCTAAATCAAAACCCTGTGCAGTGGCTGGCTTAGTCCCTACAGGGCACTGTCTCCCAGGCCTCTGCAGTCAACCCTTCCCAAGAGATCAGTACATTACCCGCCAATGGCTCCATTGTGGTTCCGTCTTTTCTCTCTTCCGCAGCAGCGCTGCTCCGAGAAGGGGCAGTCCCTTACCTACCAGCCACTTCGGCCAGAGGGTCAAGGGCATGGCCAGCAGCCCAGGTCCCAGGAGGGAGCGTGACTGTTTTCCAGAGCTGCTGTCTGTCTGGATATACTTACTGTTGCTCAGGTCTGACAAGTAGTGCTGAAGTGGGAAGGGTGGGGCAACTTGTGCTGGGTGGCCACTGGGGCTGGAGGTGGGGTTTGAGGTGCTCCCGGAAATGAGTGGAGCCTGCTTTTCCCAGGCAAGAGACAGGTTGGTCTCTTTCCAAGAGATTCTTGGGGTCCTGCTTAGAACTCTGATTCCCAGCTCAGGCCCTGCTTAACTGTGAGCTAGTTGTGCCATGGTCCTGTTTAGTGGGTAAGGCAATAGCCCAGATATTCCTGTTTCTAACTAGCCTGCCCTAGATGAGGTTATAATCAGGGCTAACCTCATCTAGCTACCAGAAAGCCCCACACCATCCCTTCTTCAGGTCCTCATTTTCCCACAGCTCTTAAGCAGAAACATGGAAATCTCAGGCTCAGGGTTTCATGGGGACTCAAAGACATTTCATGCCTCTTTTGGCCTCCCTCAGTTATTCCCTTACATGCTATGCTCAAAGTCACCCACACCCTAAAAGGATTCACTTCATGATTCCCTTCCTGGGTTGGCAGAAGTGCCCGGGGATGCGGACATAGAGGCAGGGACACGGCCAGCTAGTATAACAAAAGACAGAAGAGAGGCAAGCCTCTCTGTTCTTAAGCTGCCGGAGATAAAGGCTTTAAGGTGCTCATGCCCACTGTGAGCCTCCAGCTGCAACTGCCTATGCCTTCTCCCCTCCTGTGGGCCACAAATCATCTCCGTGGCGGGGCGGGAGAGTCGCTGGCAAAAGGATTTTCTAGGAGAGTGAACTCTTAGAAGATGATTCTTTTCATCTCTTTAACCACAACTCTTTCATATCCCCCATCCCCAGCACTTGGGATTCTGAGACAGAAGGTTCACTTGAACTCAGCAATGTTAGATCAGCTTGAGGTCCAAGATGAGACTTGCACCTCAAAGAATCAGGTAATTTTTCCTGTCTTCCCCCAGACATACAGCTGGAGGCTAAAATGACATCCGCAAAGGTGAACTAATTCCCGAACTAACAGGCAAGCTCAGACCAGAAATTCCAGAACCAGGGGTGACGTCACTGTGATGGCCTGTTTTGCCTCATGTGGATTGTAAAGTCGAGATCTGAGTCAGAATGGCCAAGCCCGGCCCCCTTGCTGATCGATCTTCTGGATGAAAAGCACCTGGATCCCTAGTCCGAAGCCTGAGGCTCGGGGCAGGTGCGGCACAGTTCTTGCTGGTTGAGTGCTTTCAGGCTTAAACCATATTCTCCGCTTGAAAACCATCTCCCCATGCCTCAACTCAGGAGTTCTGGATAATTTTCATTGGCAAAAGGCTTTCAGGATGGCCACAGACAGACAGCTCAGGGGGGAGACATTAAGGGAGAAACAGGCAAATTTAGAGCTGGGCAAAGTGAGCCAGCTTTACTTTTCAAACAGAGCCCCTCACTCCTACCAGTTCCACCTCCTCCCAAGACCCTTCTAGCCATAGTGAGTGTCAAGAGGCACAAAGCAATGCTGTGTTAGAGAGGCTATGTAGGATTCTGTGGTACTCAGTGTGATGAAGGAAATATTCTGTGCATAGGATGTCAGCCATATACCCACAGCCACACTTGCTGTGCTGGCCACACAAATGGAGGCATTCATGATTCAACTTTTCATTCTTTGTGAATTTCACATCATGCACCCCAATCCCACTCATCTCATTTCTTCATATCTACCTTCTACCCTTGCAACCTCCTCCACAAAGAAAAAAACTCCAAACAAAAATCTCATCATGGAAGCTGTAGTGTGTCATAGTGTGTCCACACAGCTTTACCTGCAAATGTTCATTGCACTGAGTCATTGGTCTGGGTCAAGGCTTCTGCTACACAACCCTGGCTTCTCAGCAGGACTCCTCACAGACTTTGCAGCTTTGGATCTGCAGGGCCAGCCCCTTCATGTGCTCCGGCATACATGGAGTAGGTGTTGATAATGGGCCACCTCAGAGTCCTAGATCTGAACCTGAATGGGAGCCGAGTCGGCCAGCCCACAGCAATCCTGCACCCACGTCACTAGGTCAGCTCTCTGCTCTCCTGCCCCTGGGCTGGCTCACCCACCTTTGGCACTGGGGCCAGCTCTACTGTGCTGCTCAGGCAAGGTGCAGGGTCAGCTCTCCCAGTGCTGCAGCTGGTGAGGGATAGGGACGGCTCTCCTGCTGTCATGAAAGGAGTGCTGCTCTGATTGTTTTTCATAGTTACTGGTTGTCTTGTCCTTCTTTCCTTAGCTAAACTACTCCCTTATTATTCCACTAAAGTCTTCAGAAGACAGAGGAAGAAGAAGGCTCAGGGAGACTTGGTTTCTTGCTTCTGTTTATTGAGGAGCAGCCCTCCATCATCCTCAGGCCAGAGCAACCCCTGCCCCCACAACCCTCTACAGAGGGCAGGGTCCAGGGAGAAAAGGATGGAGTTTGGGGAAACAGAATTAAGTACGCACACCATCCAGGAGAAAACAGGCTTTATTCTACCGTTTCAAATACAGTTTGTGAGAAGGAATGCTACAAGCTTACCAGGTAGGAGGACAGGACTCACGATGGGGCAAGTTCCTGCCCTGTGGGGAGTGGCTTGGCATCCTAGTGCTGAGGAAGTGCATTTTAAGCTGGTGTGGATGGGTTCATGGGCAGCACTACTCAATTTTTTAAAAAAATTTATTGGTATCGGTGTTTTGCCTGCATATATGTCTGTGCAAGTGTGTGCCAGGTACCCATAGGTACCAATGCCGGCAGGTCCTGAATACCTCTTGCAGGCTCTCTGATAATGCTCAACAGAGCCAGCAGTAAGTTATAAGTCCACCTGCTCCTGTATTACTCTTGGCCATCCCTCAATGCCTCACAAACACACACCACATCTCACCACTGTCAGTTTCTGGTCAATTGTTCTGTGTGTGCAGTGGAGACATACATTACCACCTAGAGCAATCCTCCAGTCCTAAAAAAAAAAAAGGCCAGGGACAACTATGGCCACGACAACAACAGGACAGAAAGTGGCTAGAAGGAAGAAAGATGCTCAAAGCTCAAAGAGCTCAAAGCTCACAGAGGCTCAACCACCTGTCCAAGCAGCTGGTGGGTGGCTGGAGCAGGCACTTCTGCAGAGATCCTCCCAGAAGACCACACGCCCGCACAGTGCTGGCCCAGGGAGGTACTAGCCCCTCTGCCTGCAGAGACGTGTGTTCTCCCACTCATCTTAGTAGAAAAGTTCAGCTCCTGAGAACCTTCATACAACGTACATGGCAACTGCTTATCAGTGCACTCCCGGAAGCCCAGACCAGACTGTGCCTTCCCATTTTTGTCTCATTTAAATATTAGTTACTCCCTATCCCCCAATCTACAGAGTGGGAGAGAAAGCATGGATGTACAAGAGACAAGATTAAGGGGTAAAATAAATAGTGAGAAGGAGACAGGGACTGAAAACAAGGGGATGAGCAGAGACGACTTGGACACAGGCACGGCTCCTGGAGAAACCACTGGCAGCACAGACAGTAAGCCTGTTTGCTCAGTGGGCTGGGGAGCTCAGTACTCAGTTCCCACGGGACTCTCCAGGGGGCCATGTGCGGGGATCTTGTGAAGCTGTGTAGTTACTGTAATAGAAAACCCTCAGTCAACAACCCCATGGGTACAAACACTTGAGATGAAATCTCCTTGTCCAGGTGATTGGTATACAAAGGCAAGACGGTGCATTTCCTCCTGTCCAAGCAGGGGTTAAATTCCTGGTCTCACCTGCAATATAACAGTGTAAGATACAACTAATCTCTTTTCTAGTAAAAAGCCGGAATGCCAGGTCACAAATCCAGTTAATTCAGAGATGTTCCAGAGGGCAAGGCAGCCAGCAACGTCCAAATGAGGGAGACGCTTGGCAGCAATCCCTGGTTCCTAAGGTGGCTGCTCCTTCAGCTGTCTGGGAAGGCTGAGCCGTCCACTGCGCAGTGCTTGGGATTCCGGGCTCAGGTGTCGGCTGAGTTTACCTCTTTGGAACAGAAGTAGTGCACGACCACTCCATTGGGGTATCTTGCGAACGCACTGTGTGGAAGAACAGCGGAGAGGTGAGAGAAGTGCTCACAGTCTCCTCCACACCTCCTCCAGCAAGAGGCACCGCCCCAGCAGCTGCCCCGCACCCAAACGACAGCCTCCTCCAGGATCTCTGGAATGCTGCGGTAACACTTCTCCAAACAACTAGAGCAGGAACTGTACAACGTTCATGTGCAGGCAAACATTTTTGTGACTCCATCAGTGCAGGGTTGGGGATATGGGTCAGTGGTAGTTTGACTGTCAGTAGCACTGATTGACCGACCGACTGACCAACCAGGCAAATACATTGACAAACAAAAAGCCAACGCAGAGCATGTGCCCTTGGCTTGGCACCAGGGATGATGTTCAGCAGAACATGTTTCAGGATAGTTCTAATGAAATACAGCACATGAGCCCTCAGCAGAGAAACAGACTCTTCTGGCTAAGTAAGAAAAGGCAGCTCTTGCTGCTTCCAGGCAGAGGACTACTGGCTCTGGGGCACGTCTTAACAGAATAGTGCTGGCTCAGGAGGTGGCTCGAGTCATGAGACAGCAGACTGAACAAATTTCTCCTCTGGGGGCTCGTCCTCTCCATCTGTCGTGGTGGTGCAGGCCTGTAACCTTAGCACTGGGTATGGCTGAGGCACAGGGTTGATTTTAGAGTTCCATCTCAGCTTGAGCTACACGGCTGCCCCTATCAGGAAGACTCTCTGTATGTCTCTTATCCTCTCTTACTGGCTCTCTGTTCCATTGTTAATTTTAGCTGCCAGAGGAATAGTTTAACAGCTCGATACCATATGACAGCTCTTTATTGAAGCTTGCTCTGTCAAAGCTCAAGAATTCAATGAAACAAAAGACAGCTTCTCTCTGTGGGCGTGAGGTTAGTGTTGTGCACATGACAGAAGCCAGAATCATCAGGGA